GCACGCAGGCCAGGCCAGGCCAGGCCAGGCCAGGAATGCACGCAGGCCAGGCCAGGCCAGGCCAGGTCAGGAATGCACGCAGGCCAGGCCAGGCCAGGCCAGGCCAGGCCAGGCCAGGCCAGGAATGAACGCAGGCCAGGCCACGAATGCACGCAGGCCAGGCCAGGCCAGGAATGAACGCAGGCCAGGCCAGGAATGCACGCAGGCCAGGCCAGGCCAGGCCAGGAATGAACGCAGGCCAGGCCAGGCCAGGAATGAACGCAGGCCAGGCCAGATTCAGGTCAGGTCTTAAGGCTGTAATTACTATCTTTTAAGGTAAATAATACATGTAAATTATATTGTTTACACTAATCCGCAACCCTTAATTATTACTAATTTATTTGATAACAATTATACCTACTTATATGTGTTGGCAGGAAAGGCTTTCTGCCGTGCACTCATGGAGGGCAGCCTGGTTCCCTCCCCTCCTGCCCCAGCTAGGAAGAACGAGAGACGTGCGACAGACGTGCCGGGCTGGGGAAAGTGGGGGGTGGCCTCACCTGGGAGCCTGACTCGTATCTGGCCTCAGTGAGAATCCCTCGCACGTTGCTGCCGTGGCCCCTCTCCGTCATGGCAAACATGCCGGTGAACTGCAGCTCCTGGAGTTTGTCGGGGTGAAACAAGAGACAGGGTGAAACAGCAAGGCCTCCATGTCCTGGCTAAAGACCATGTGACCATAATACCGTGGCAACAGCCCCCTGTCCCATTACCTCACCGCCCCATCACCAGCTATGACAGAGCCACCCACTGTAGCAGCAGCCCACTGGCACTACAGATTTAAACATACACACAAGAACAGCGTTTTTACTTCTGCAGAGGTCCATCTGGCTACATTTCAGCCAGCACGCCTGAATGCGGGCAGTTAGGCAGCTAGGGAGCTATGCAATTGGTTCAGGGTAGATACCAATTACAAACACCATTTGGCCTTCCAAGAGCTGAAAGCACATTTACAGATACGCCCCAGATAGGAAAGTGGAATCAATCAGCCCGTGAGGAGCTCAGCAGTTTCCAGGACTCCAGCACGCTGCAATCACTGGAAGCTGACATTTTGAAAAGGGTGCCAACTGAGTTTTATGCAGAAATAAATTGAAACATACAGACAAAAACAATTAAGTGATACTTAATTAAGAGATACTTAGATTAAGTGATACTCATAGTTTCTGATGTAAATATGGTGTTCTTCAGCAGATGAAAAAGTAAGGAAATAAATAATAATAAGCTTTATTTTATATAGCGCCTATAAAGGTGGCTTCTCAAAGTTTTTTACAGAAGGACAACAACAATAAAAATACACAAGATATGCACGAAAAAGTATTTGTTTCCTTACAGCTTTTTTAAAAACCGGACATGTCCTAATCATACAAGAAACTTCTGTGTTATGTTATTTTTATTTTCAATGACGTATCTGCTTCATTTCCTGTCCTTGTTCTTCTCACATGAATAGAAAAACACAGCCCTCCTCCATTCCTGTCTCAGGCTGCTGAGATGTCACTGAAACACAGAGGCTGCTAAAGCCATGCGGCTGCCACCTACCCTTACAGGAAGATACCATTTTGTCTTCTGTTCAGGACTTCCGAGATTAGTGACGGCACCTCCGAACAGTCCGCATACAACCCCCATCTGCAATCAGACAGCGACAGCTTACACACAACACACAAGACCAGGGATTGACAGACTCAGGTCCCACGTGCCAAAGCCACTTCTAGCAAGCTTGTGATTTTCTCGGGAGTGGCCACAACCATCAGAAATGTAATTAGAATGCTTGCGATCCAGTAAAAACAACAAAAGGCACAACCGCAAACACTGTATTGCTGGCGTGTGGTTACTGGCAAGGCAAACTGAATGGAAGAATGTCAATGAGCAGGGGTTTCTGTCCAGTGCTCACTGCTGCATCATTCGCAGTAAGTAATTTATTGCCTGCTGGGATCTGATGGTCGGGCTTTGCCCAGTGCTCAGCCACCTGCTCCCTTCAACAAATGGAAATCCTATTATTCCACAAACGCACCACAGGAGACTTTAACAATATGGTATTATTAACAGTATTTTGGGTTTCTTCTGTTAGTCCTGATTGTCATGTTTCCAGTAACGGCAACACACAGAACGTGAAACAGCCTCACACGGCTGCTAACAGCTTGCTGTTTTCAATTCTGATTATACAGCTCTTGCTAATACTAATATCAAATGTTGATGAACAGACGCAGGTGGGAGTGACACTGTGTCACACAAACTCATAAGGGGGATGGGCTCTGTGTCTGGCACACCCACAATGGACAGTGACTCTACATTAGACACACCCACAGTGGGCAGTGACTCTGTGTTAGACATGCCCAGATTTGGGAATGGCTCCATAACAGACACGCCCACAACAGGGGGTGGCTTTGTATCGTGTACACCCATAGTGTGGAGAGACACTACCCATAAGGAATAAAGATAAGACTTTATTGATCCCGTAGGGAAATTGATGAAATAGTGTCTCTTTCTCAAGCACACCCACTATGAATGTCTTTTAAACACCATTTGGCCTTCCAAGAGCTGAAAGCACATTCACAGATACGCCCCAGACAGGAAAGTGGAATCAATCAGCCCTTGAGCAAGTCAGTAGTTTCCAGGACTCCAGCACGCTGCAATCACTGGAGGCTGACATTTTGAAAAGGGTGCCAACTGAGAAACAAACTTAAACGTACACGATGAAAAGAAATGAATAAGGCTGATGTTTCAACTTGTGATGCAGCACAATGGGCTGTGTAATTCCACAATAATCACAATTCTCTAAGAATCATTTTAAAATCTTAAAATTCAGCACTTTATTTAAAAAATAAATAAAGCACTCTTTCATGCCCTGGAGCATGTAAAAGCCTATATATTTAACATGTTACCAGATACTTTTGTGACCTGCTTGACAATATCATTCACCTTTTTTTTATCAGTTTTTATCAGCTCTTAGAGCATTGAACTCCAATTCTATGTGTGGTAGAAGTCAAATGTAAACTAAACAATAAAGATATAAATTCAGCCTAAGGCAGGATTTAAACAACATTAAGAGGGCTTGGTGTTGACAGGGATTAACCACTATCACTTCAAATAAGTTCCTAATTTTGTTACTTCTGAATGCCTTATTTAAAATATTGGATGTTGGTGGGTATGATTTAAACCAAATCTAGTGAAAACAAATAACTGGACTCCTCCCATTAATAACAACTCTTTTTCAGCTGTACTGACTCAATTCCAGTCCAGGATTGCTGATCAAGTTCACTATAAATTGTAGAAGCTACAGCGTAGTGGATGAAAACCAATATCCGTTTCTACAGTATATGAGTTCGCCATGATAAAATGTGATAAAAATGCACGGTTAAACACTGTGACTATTAATAACACTGTGCCATTATATTTTTTCAAATGTATGAACTACTGCAGCTCAAATAGCAGCAATCTTCTTTTAAAAGCAGACACATTTTAAAAATGAAATTCAGGTACAGCAACACTGAGACAATTGTTAAAGGGGACAAGTGTTGGTTACTTGCAAATTACCCTGCAAATTCTACAGCATTTTTTTTTCACAAAGGGAGAAGACAGCTTTTAAAATTGTAACGTCTCTTGGCTTTGCAGCACAAAGCATATTTTTTTTCATTTTTCAGTTAGTCAGCTGTGGGACTGACTCTTGATCTGTAATCCATGAGTCCCTGGTGAAAGGTCTTTGTACTAAAAGGCTGTACCTTCACTCCAGTGCCCATATCAGCTGCACATAACACTTCTGCAATGGCAAGGCTTTTCTGTATGAAGTCCCTCTTATTCTCCATCTGCAGAGGAATTAGAGATAAAGTGATCTATCGGACTGAAGGTTAGAGCTACTCAGAGACTGGTGATGAAGGACAGTCAAAGAGGTGTCCAAACTCTAATGAAGTTCAAAAGTGTTCAGACAGGAAAAAAGCTGTAATCAACAGCAAAATCTTCATGGAGAAAAGAGCTATGAAGAGAAATTTACTTTATTTCAGTTCAGTTTATTGCTTAAGCATTTTATTGCACTTGTACAGATGACAATAAACTGAACTGAACTCTATTTACACTCTGTTGTAGCCCTCTGTACTCTCCTGATAGTCTCTCTTACACATGTGTAGCAGAACATGTGTCTGATGGCTGCCCCTACCTCTCTTTTGTCCTTTCTCAGTTGTACACCTCATATCTTGAAAAGGAAAGCTGCATCTAGGGCCATAGGACAGGTGTACAACCCCCATTGTAAGAGCCTAGGACAGGCCAGCTTAATAAGGCCTGCCACATCTTAACAAAGGAGACTACCAGGCGCTTGTTGAAGGCATTTAAAAACCTGAAAGGTACTCAAAGAGTCAAGCTGGTCTCCATCAGGACTCACTGTTAAACAAGAGCCCAAGAAAACAAGCGAAAACTATCCGAGGGTGCATTTAAGACCGAAAACAGGAGGCATTTCTTTATGCAAACTGTTGTGGGTGCTTGGGACAGTCTGCCTTCTGTGCTTTTGTAGGAGATGCCCAAGCAGTCTCCAAGAAATAGATAGATAGATAATACTTTATTAATCCCATAGGGAAATTGATGAATATAGCTGTGAAAATAGCTGGGGGAGTTCCTTGAAAACACAACTAAATGAGCAAGGTGGGTTAAATGCATGCCTCTTCTTTGTAACTTTCCTCATGTTCTTAACTGCTCCCTAGGACAACACGTGTCTGATAGCTGTCCCTACCTCTCTTTCTGTCTTTCCAGACCAGACAGCCTTGCTACTGCAAAGCTCCTTTCATGTTCCTGGCCTGCGACGAAAGGCGCAACATCATTTTGGGCACTTTTGAAAAGCCATGTACAGTAGCAGACTCTGTACCTGCTCCTTGAGGTGCTTCTGAAACAGGGGCAGTTTGATCAAATAATGGAGTCTCTCAACTGTAAGGTCCCTCATTTCCTCCAGGCTCAGGTCATAACTGCTAAGCATAAAAAAACATAAGTTAATAATTAAATTTGAAGCAGCTTATGTGATCTGTGTGATGACAGTTTACAAAAAAATCTTGTAGTTCTTGGATTCTGGGTTTCATGCTGCACTGAGCTCCTTCTGTGTGGAGTCTGCATGCTTTCTCTGAGTGCTTCAGTTATTTCCTACCTTCCAAAGACATAATGGCTGAGTGGCGCTTACAAATCACCCATGTACAGTATGTAACCCTTGCAATAGTCCAGACCAGGGTACTGTCCCACCTTGCATATTAACTTTGTTTGACGCTATCACCTTGTGGACTGTTTATGCTGAACCCCTTGTTTTTGCTGTTGTTTTAATATTTTTTGAGTGGGCAATGGATGCTGTTGCATTTTTTTAGTTAATTCAATTAAAGTCAGTTGTGTTGTTCCAAGTTTTTATATAGGAAATGGACGTGGGTTAAATGCATCTGCACACAATATTTAGGTTGTGTAGGCTGTGGGTGATCAGTGGAAACTGCAACTCAAGAGTAAGGTTCTTTGTACTGCTAAAAAATAAACATCTGAATTTTACAGTTTAGAAATGTCTAATGGGTCTGATTTTCAGTATTTTAAATCACTTCACAGTCCTTGCGAGAGTTAATGAATCTGTTAAAAGCCTAGATCCTTAATGGGACTCCGTACTTCTGCTGAGCTGCGTTGCCGTACTATGGAAAACAAAATCTATATTTTTCGATATATACTATACAATATATGCGCTCTCTATTTTCAGCAAAAATAAACTTCTTAATAACGCACACTCTCTCCCCGTGTAACAGTCACAGACCTACACTCGTTTTCAAAGTAGACGATTTAAATTCCCACCTGCTATTCTGGAACAGACTGCATTGCGATATTTCCTGTCGCAGGCTATCCTTCAGTCTCCAGCAGCTTCCATCCAAGTATTTTGAAAGGCTTTGGGCACTTTCGGGACATTTCCCCGCCATAGTCTTGACAGAAATACGTGACCGGAGGATCTTTTCCTCACCTGCTGCAATATTGTACCTAACCCGACTGGCTATGTCAGCACGACTTCCGCGTCTCGGTGATGTCACTGCGTTACAGCAGGCAACGATGTTTAGGAAATGAGAATAATCATTCAACAGATTCGAGCTACAGATATTCTACAACGGACTTTCTCTGTGGTGTAATTTAGGATTACGATTAAAATACCGCGATTACAAATAATAAAACTAACAATCATCCAGAAATAGCTGCAAGGCGGATGCATGCAAAGCGTCCAATTGCTGTTATTTCCACGGAAGACGCCTCCTGCCGTGACCTGGGCAGAAATTTTGCAAGATGACAGCGTTTTGACACGCCGCGGAGCTGTTGAACGGGAGCGCAACCTTTGTCAAGTTCAGAGACTTGTTTGATAAACCCCCCCTCCGCAGTTTCGACATGAACACGCTGTGGGCAGAGCTGTGCAAATTGGCCGTGGAAACAGCGGCGTCGATTCTGGGGCCCTGCTAAAATGTATGAATGAGAACGAGCAAAGGTGAAGCGTTCAATTTAAGAACCTAAAGTTATTTAAAAAATAAAAATTGATTTTTAATTGTGCAAAAGTACTAAAATATTGCATTTGTGCTACATACTATATAAGACTTGCACCAAGTTCACGATATGCATTTACAATACTGTAAAGACTGTTTCCTTACTACGTTTTTATTCACTACTCTACAAACTCTTACTGTACATCACCCGAGGGGCAATCAGGAATCACAATATTGGTATGGTCTGAGCCTCAGTTAACTCTGAACCAACATTTTCTAAATATAATAACCTTTGTTATCAATACAGTTTAGCTGACGAGAAAAGTTTGTCAGTGATCTTGGTTCTAACCACTGAACAAAATCTGAACCTAATCACAACACCTCAAGGTTAACTACAATATGTATGAGCCTATCCCTGACACCCACCGGAAGTGTTGCAGTAGCTAATCTATCAAAATTACCAATCAAATATAACTGACGCATAGTCAGGGTTTCCTTGTCATTTTAATATTTTAAGAACGACAGCTATCTGGATAGGAATTACATCACAATAATGTAAGCAAATTATGCCAGTTTTGCCTCATATGCTCTAAAACAGTCCAGTCTATACAGTCTCTATTGTACATCTACTGTACAAACAGAGGTGACCACCCTTATTATCCTTAATCTCCTTAAGCAAATGTTTTTACTCCAGAGTAACTTTTAAAGGTATGGCACAGTTCGTTGTGAGGCCTCAACATAACTGGGATTGCTAGAGCACTTTATGGTGTACTGGGACAATCCTCAGAGAACCTGAGATAATGAACCTACAGTATGTTCCAAACCCTTACATACAGTACAGTACAAATTAGTTTTTATATTAATTTTATTTAGCTTCAAATGAGGTACAAAAATGTTTGCCTACATAGCATACAACATACAATAGTAATTATTATAGTACCACTTTTTAAAAACAAATTCTATTTCACATGAAAAGTTGTCACATTATGTATATGGTATATGTATTCACAGATATTGAAAGTTTAAAAAATATCCAAAACACCCAAAGTAACAAAATCACTTCAATGCTACTACAGTACATATATTTATGAATGTGTTAGGGTGTATGGGTTATTCCACATGAATATTAGAAGTCCCAGTTTCTCTCGTGCTCTAGCCTTCAGTCCTCCAGATCTGTCCTCCATGTGTCTCTCCAGGCGCTGGCTGGGAGCTGCTGGCCCTGTCTGCACTACTTGCAGTAGACATCATACTGCAGCTGAGCCCCCAGCTTTGTCCCGGCAAGAAACTGCTCAAACTTGGCATCCATCTCCTGGCTCTGTGCGTCGCTGAACTGGTTTTTCCAGTCTCCCACCTCCCCTGCAGAGGAGATCACAGTAAGAAAGATATTCAGCAGTGTGTGGACCCTTCTGGATGGGAAACAGCTGATAGGATGGTAAAAGAAGAGAGGAGTGGTGCTTTAAAGGGGTAAGGTTCACACTAAAAGCACTTCTCTGAGACAAAACTTTCAAAATTGTATTTTGTACTGAGATGACACAGTTGAAAGAAATGATGCCTTTTGGGGTTCCAGCAGCCCTTTTTTACAGTACATATAGCTCTAACTCCAAACAGCGCCCAACTGTTAGTAAGTCATTCTGTGGAACAGTGCTAAACATTTTCATATACTTTGTACTTTACCCATCCTCATCAGATTTGCCTGCAGACCACCCTGACAGCCCTGCAGATGCCATAACTACTGTTTGTCTTCCTGAAGGCCCTTGTTTGTTATATGGAGAATTAAAATCAAAATAGCTCTTGCTGGTTTCCAGCTTTGCTCAAGTTAACATCACAATCAACCTTGTGTGGTACCTTTGAACTGAATTAGCACAGGAATGACACTCAGAGCTCGTTATAATTTCTGTTCTCAAAGCATGAATACATTGAATTTTAAGACCTTAAATGCAGAAGCTAACACCAGACTGCTCTTCAGCTCCCTTCCTAGTGCCAGATTCTTATGTTAATCCAAAACCTGAGTAGTGTACTGACGATGACACAGATACATTGCAAAACGTTTTTACCTTTCCTGAAAAAGACATTGCTCATTGGACCATGTGAGTTCTTGGAGTTTTCCTTCATGGCTTTGAATGTGCTCTCTTGAGTGATAGTCTGGATCTGCTCCTCGCTCAGGCTGCAGTTGAAGAAACTCGCTATCTGCTGTACTGCTTCACTCAGGTTCTACATTGAAGACAAAGGCAGATAGTCACACATCTTTCAGTTACAATACTGAATTGGATTTGTTCATTTACAGGCAAAGTCATGTGGCATGTAGAATGTAGCTCTACCTGTGGATGACACTGTACTTGAATTTCCATCTAAATTGAAGAATTTGGGGATGATTTTTGATCCAGGCTTGACATTTGACCCACAAGTGCAAAATATTGTAAAAACACCATTCTTCCATCTCAGAAATATTGCCCGACTACATCCTGTATTGTCCCTGACGGTAGCAGAAAAACTGGTCAACGTACTGTATGTGTCTTTTCTAGACTTGATTACTGCAATGCCCTACTCACTGGGGTATCTAAATCCACACTGACCAAACTCCAATATGATCATAATTCGGAAAGCCACAATCCTAACCAGGTCACGTGCAAGTGTTTGAATTACTTCTGTCCTGGAGTCCTTGCACTGGCTTCCTTTCAGGTTTCGTGTCGACTACAAAATCCTCGTGCTCACCTATAAGGCTGTACAGGGCTTGGCACCTCAGCACCTGTCTGATTTACTATCCTCCTACCTCCCACCTCACAACCTTCAATTACCTGACTCTGGGCTCCTGTTTGTCCCAGAAGCTTGTGTAGTTTCTATAGGTGATGGGCCTTCTCTTGCTTCTCTACAAAGCTGTGGAATTCTGTCCCCAGAAATGTCTACCCTCAGTGCATCCAAATACAGACTCAATACCTTCTTCTTAAAGAAAGGCTTTTATTTAATTGTTTTATTGTCCCCGTTCCTTACATCTCTTACTACATTTCCACTTTACATTTCTTGTGTTTTATTTGTGCTAATTTGTTCTCTCCTGTCTTTTTGTACTATTTTCTTTTGTTTTAACTGATTTTTATACATTTCCTGCACTTTGAGAGGCCACTTTCGAAGGCACTATATAAAATCAAGTTTATTACTATCATCAGAAAGGAATTGCAATAAAAAGACCACTATTACTGCAAACCATGAACTCACTGATCCAGTTTCCAAGTTTCTAAAGTACCAGGTTCAAAGAAACTAATGGCTTTTAATCATATTTTGCCTTGTTCTGACTTCTTCTTTTCTTAGTTGTTGCAATGAGAAGAGGCCTTTGAGCCCATCTTATTCATCTAGTCTTTTAGCAGCTCAGAGAATTAACTAATTTTCTAACTATACTAGAATCATTTATATAAATGGAGAGGGGCTAGGGGCTAGAACTACAATGGGTCTCTGTGGCACACCTACTGCTTACATCAGCCTGGTTAGAGGTTAGAGGTTATACACACAGCTAATCACTCCAGGGTTCAGCTCTGGAGTTGAGACGCAGACTCACCTCCTTCAGGTACTCGTAAGTCACGACCATTACATTGGGATTGTCCATGTGCTCTTCCCAGGCAAGGGCATGGTCAAAATAAGAGCCCCAGGGAACTGCCGAAAGCAAAGGAAGATCTCTTACAACAGAAAAAATGAAACGTGATGTAGAGTACATCAGACAGGCCATTTACAATAATTAGATTTTTACTGTCAATTAGTTCAAAATGCCCATGCAAGAAGGATTCAGTACTGGTATGCTCTGCTCATCATGTCCCAACTGTGGTCATTTACTAGTTTACTAATAGATTTGCTATTTTGCTAATGGATCAAATCGTGATTCCTTCTATTACCTTCTCCACTGATAAAGTCTGAGAAGAACTTGTCCCAGGACTCCGCAGTTGGCAGAACAGGGTTGCCGTTGGTGAAGTGGAAGAAGGAGACAGCCGTGTCTTTAGGGTTGCGGAACACCACCAGAATCTGGGGAAAGATATCGCATTAATGATGGTCCAACACTGGTCCAAGGTCCCAAGAGGTGCAGGCCCATCGTGCAGATCAGGGGTCTCAGTCTATGGTTCTGGGGGACCCCCGTGTCTGCTGGTATGTGTTCCAACTGGGCCCTGAATCCCCAGTGCTGATTGGTGCCTGTATCTGATCTGCTTGCTGCATAATGCTACTGCATCTGGTGTTGGTGGACCAGTGAGCTTTCCTTTGGATCAGAATTTCCCAGCTACTGCCTCTGTGTGGTAACGGTGTAGTGGGCAGTAGGAGATGTCATCCTTCAAATGGGATATTATAGATCTCTGCGTAAAAACCATTTGCTGACCTTTGTTTTCTTCTCAAAAAAGGATTTGGGAAAGTTCTGCGGGGGCACATGAGTTCCCACAACTCTTGGAGAAGGTGCTGCAGCCAATGTCTGGAAAATAAAATGACAGCGGATTAATGTCTAGATTAGAGCACCAGACACCTCCAAAGTTAGCTTAAAAGAATAATTCTCTTCTTCGGAGAACTGTGGGGTGAATACCAAAGTATCACCAACCATATTAGCTCATAATGAAACTTCCTAGTACAATGCAAGGCTGATTATTCTTCTGATTTTAAGGTCAAAGGTAATATAGAAGATCTAAAGTAACAAGGTCACACTGCTTGTTACCTTTAGCATTCAGCACAGCTGCAATTTACCCCCTCGTCACATTCCAGAGCAGAAGAGGCGCAGAAATACCGAATCTTTTCTGGGGTAATTTCAGTGACATTCCTAATAAGCTTATTGCTTGCACAAGTTTTTTTGCCAGTCACATTATCTTTTCGTCTCATTGTAATAATAATAACAACATTGTAATGTGTAGCTTCCCAAATCACCAATGCTCCCTTGATACTTGTGAGCTTTTGTTGATCTCTTTGTCGTGGCATGCAGAGGTGGTAGTGGCCACACCTGACCCTCTGTGCCAGTCTGTGTGGAGTTTCATTTTCTTCCCATGCTCCCCTCGTAGGTTTTTCTGGTTACTCCAGTTCTCACCTACTTAGCATAGATACTGTATGCTGGCATACAGGCTTGAATTGCTGCACTGCATTGTCCATTCAAGGCTCATTCCTATGAAGAGGGCTGGGCTCTCCACCTAATTACTTCCACATGGGCTGAGAGGTCTTCAGGCCTCTGTTGCCTCTGTCTGTTCTGGTTACAGCTCGTCCTTCTGGACCCCTTTCAAGTATTACTCAATTCCAACAATCTGATCTGTCAAGCATAATAAAGTTATGATTGAAGGGGTCCAAAGATTTTATCCTGGGGAATTCGATCGACCCACCTGACAGCTGGTTGACCATACTTCAGTTCCAAGTTCATAACAGGGGCGTTTGATAAAATGTGAAGTGTGTTCTCAGCAACTTCTGAAGTTCCAAATACAGTGCAAGACTGCAAACCGAAGACTAGCTACTGTACATTTTTTTTATCGCCTGTTCGTAAGAAACAATGTCTTCTGAAACAACTGAGATCCCAGCGTGGGAGAAACAAAATCTGTAAAGCCTGTCAGAGGTGAAGTGTGTGAAGTCATATTTTGAAATTTAAAAATTAGTTTTTCGCAAACCTTTTGTTTCGCCGGATCAAGGAATTCCAGCATTGGAGGAAACTTAGGGTGATTGTTTGGATTTTCATTTGAACGACCTGTGGCAGCAGCTACAATTTTATGCAGCACTCCTATCATCCAGTTAAACCCTGGAGTGAGACAATACAGAGTGAGAACACAGTGTTATCAGCCAAACAGCCAAGTTGAAACTGCCGATGAAACATTTACTCAGGAAAAACCCACATACGTCTTACAAGTGTTGTAGTGTAGTGCTGTAGCCTAGTTTTCACAACGGGGCAGAGCTCTGGGACTGTGGAGGTACAGTATTGCCAAATAGTTCGCCTTCCCCTTCTGTCTGCTTGCATTTCTGTGTGTGTATCCCTGCATCCTGTTGTGAATGCTGAATATTACTGAATACTACTCGGCATATTTTATGTTCTTATTTGCAAGATGACTCTTAAAAGGTTAATTTGTTTAGGTTAAGTTTGGAAGGTACTGTACGTGTGTTTGTTTGTTTTTAAAGCAGCAGGGGGACCCTTTCATTCCATGAATTCCACTTTCTCACATTCCATTCTCTCCCTCTTTTTCAGTCTCTGCTGTGAGCAGCAGTCTCACCCCCTGCTCTTGATTTAGAGAGAGTCATCTAAAGAAGGACAAAAGTTCTGGATTTAAGGGAAATCACTGTTCTTTGACACTGAGGTTTTACAACACTGTTGAGTGTATTTGTCTACTTAAAACAAGTAGTTAAGCTGCTGTTAAGTGTTTTTCATGCTGTGAAGAAATCCTTCAATTTTTTTAAAAAAAGTGTGTTAAGTGTGTGAAAAGTGTTTTCTGTGCTGTGTGACAACACATTTTCTTGTAATCGTGTTTGGTGCAATTTTATGTTTGTTTTTTTTAATCTGAGAGCAGGAAAGAAAAAGACTCCTTTCACACTCACCACACTTTGGGTAAGCTGCCAGCATAATGTCGTCTTCTCTTGCTTCAAAAGTCTCCAGCTCTTTGAGATTCTCAGGACTGCACATGATGGTGGGATACAACAAGCCATTGTAACGATAAAGCTTGTCTTCTTCTTTCATGTGTTTGGCAGCCTCCATCCTTTTAGTCAATTCTGTCTGAAATGCTTTGTTCATGTTGATTTTGCTTCAGAGGGCTGCAGTATCCACGGACTGATTTCAGTGTGACTGTCTTGCTGAAGAGCCAGTGTAAAAGGCTTCACTCAGGATCCTCCTACTGAGAAAGTAACCCCTCCCACCCAGGCAGAGCTTGCGTGAGAAGCAGAAGCAGTACACAGGCAAGCTCTGATTTCCTGCAGTGATTTCAAACAGCTTTTGCTGGTTTAGGGCATGATTAATTGTCCCTTTCTAAACCTGCCATTCACAAATGGTGCTTAAGCAACAACCAAGTAACACGAATTAGGCTTCCACTCTTTTTAATAAAAAAAACGTTTTCAATCAATTGGGGCTTTTCCTCTTTTGGAAAAGTAACTTTTTTTATTCATCATGAAGTTTATTATTACATGTGTTTATCCAATGGAAAAGAAACTTTGACGCAATGAAGAGCAGCCAGACATTACTGTAATACTTCATTTTCCATTAATCTGCGTTTTTGTCACCGTACATTCTATTTAAAATAAAAAGGTTTTACTTTTCATATATAAATTCACAGTTTCAAAAAATCCAAAATACTCTTGAATTTATAAATAAA